TGGTTTATTCTCCTGTGTGCCTATGTCTGTGAGTCTGGGCCTCATGCTCCATGTCCCCACCCTCATGGGACCACCAGAGAGCTCTTTGAGTGCAAGCAGCCTAGAAAGTTGGTCATACACATCTAAAGCAGACCTCCTCCTGGGAGCTTGGCTGAACGGATGCAGAGTACACACATGGCTGAGGGTTAACCACCCTCAGGTCCTCCCAGACCAGCTGAGACTCACTAGTGTCAGGAGCTTGGGGACGCCCAGAGGTGGGACCTGAACTGGAATTTGAGGTGTCCCTTTGGGATCAAGAGAGAGAAGATGGAGAAGGGGACAACTAGGAGCTGAAACTGCAAAGCCCAGAGATGTTGCTTCGTGTGTCTAACGTGGCCTGGAGTGTCGAGATCCTCCTCTGAAGGAAGGACAAGCACTGACAGTGCTGTGCCAGGGTCTCCTGAGTGTCATTCAAGGGCCCTGACTGGATGGTAGCTGGGCTGTCTACCTCTCCTTGTCTGTCCAGAAAGTTGTCCATTGGGGCCAGGGATGGGAGAGGGGCAACTGTCCCCACAAATTCCAGCAAGCCTGGCTCCTCTACCCTGGCTCCTCCACCCCAGGGCTTCAGAAACCTAAACTGGCGGTGAGAGGAGAGACAGAAACACTGTCCCTTCCCTGGGAGGATCTCCCACAATACTTCCCGGGACAGGTGAGAATTTTACTCTGTAAGGTACGAGTGATTAACCCATTGTACAGGTGAGAAAGCTGAGGTTCCAGAGGAGGGATTTTCTTGGGCTACCCAGGGGTTGGTGGTGGCTGGGCATGGACAAGTGCTAAAGCCTAGGGCACAGAGATCCTGGATGGCAGGATCTGCTGGAGAAATTCTGTCTTCAGCCTCCACACTTCCCTGGGACAGTCACAGGCCACTCCAGCTTCCCTGCCAATACCTGGCAGGTATTCTGCGTTACAGCTGCCCTGAGGGGACAAACATGCTCACTTCACGTCTCTGCTGGTCTGGCATTTCCCGACTTTCTGACCCCCAATATAGTAGAAAATGCTAAGACAACAGGGAGGAATACGTGTTCAAATTCTGGCTCTGTAGTCACCTATTACGTGGATTGGACCAGCCACGGAGCTCTCAGATCTCAGGTCCCCAGGAAGGACAAACACTCTCACCAAGGGCCACCAGGAGGAAGGATCAGATCAGCTGAGATCCCTGCATAAGGGTTCAATGGGACCTAGGAACTCTGAGGCCTATTTCCCTACCCGCGTGATAACTTCCTCTTGTGGTAAGGATCCCGGGGCGGTACAAGCCCATTTCCTTCAGAGCCTGTGGGATGGTTTGTTTCTCCTGGCCCTGGGGAAATGGGGCCAAAGGGAGGTCACACCATCACGGTCTCCGCCTCCACCCTACTGCCGCCTATCGGAGCCCCTGAGTCAGCACGGCCAGCTTGATGCTATCTATTGCTGCCGCTTTCATGCGGTGCAATCTAGGAATGCCTGCCTGTGTCATGGCATGTCTTGATGTCATCTTTCCATGAAAAGGATATATGGCTGCCCACAAACCTCATCACCAAACCCATGGATTTCTGTCCTGCCTGTGCTGACTGCAGCCCCATAGGCCAGGCTGCTGGCACGGATCTCTCCTTGCAGCTCCTGCTCTCTTCCTTTCCTGTCCTCTTGCGGCCCTCAGCCATTGGCAGCTGTCAGCTACTCATCCAGCTATCATGTCCCAGCCGTTAAACACAGATGTGCTGGCCCTCAGCCCTTCTTCCTGAATAACCCTCATGGTCTCAGCTGTCACACGGGCATGGACCACTCCCAGATCTGTCTCCCACACAAAAAGCCTCTGAAGTTCCCAAACTTCCTGTGAGCCCTCAGATCCTGAAGACCTGCCCCTTTGTTGCTGGGGTCACTAACTTTGTCACCTGGGCAGTGATTCTGATGTCCCCTACTCACATTCGAAAGCACACTTTGGTGGTGGGGGATGCATAATTAATCTTGCTCCTCCATCAGTGGGATTACAAGGCCCTCAAAAGCAGAACTGACCATTTTTCATAATCTTTGTGTCCCCTTTCCCTGCTGGGAGCCTAGCAGGTTGAATGAGTGAGTGACCTCACTACATCACCAAGTCCTTTCAAGATTCTATACCTAAATTTCTCTGGACTTTGCCTCCTCTTCATCATATGTGCCCCTAAAACCCTAGGCTTCTCTGCACCCCAAATTCTCCTTCCTGTCTTCTCCCATAGCTCAACTTGCTACCTGACATCTACTTGCTGTCTCAGCCTGTGTTGGGAGGTGGTGTCTTCAGACGCTCTCTGATTCCCTCAGACCTCCAAGCTGGGGGAGGTTGCTCCTTGGAATCCCTCAGCTCAGAAATCCATCCCAGCCGGGACCACACCATGGGAGTGTCCATCGTAGTCTGTCTCCATGCCAAACTGCAAGTCTTAGGAGCCAGATATGAGGGCCACTGGGAGGGTCGGTCTACCTCCTCCTTAGCACAGGGCTTGGCATAGATTGGAAAGGCTTGTTGACTAACTGTCTGAGCTGTGACAACTCATTTCCAGGAAGAAAGTGACTTTCCATTCCAGAGGGGCCATAGCAGCTCTCTGCCTCCCTAACTACCAGCTTAACTGCTACCTTTTGGCTCCCCTCCACACCCTCCAGCCTCTGGGATGCTGTCTGGCACAGTCCTCCACTCTGGGTGGCATCCACATATGTACATGTATCCTGTACCCCTTTCTTCTTTTGAGAGCTCCCTGGAAGGAGGTAAGCACAGGTATCACAGAGTAAGGGGAGGAAGAGCCTGGATCCTGTGTCATGTTTCTACCCCACCTACCTAGGAATGTTCTACCACCAGGCTCAGATGGGTGGGGCTGGCCTCACAGTGGGCGCCAGATCCTGGCAGGGAACACCAAGAAAGCCTGTAAGGTGAAGGTCTGGCTTCCCTGTGCAAGAGCAGCAAAATTCCCATCACACAGTAAAACTTGCCAGGGCCATAGACTCAGATCATAGTGCTCAAGCAATGAGTTCTATTCATTCTCTAAGGGCTCACCCGCCTGAGCCCAGAAAAATGCCCTCACTTAGTTGGGTGCTATACCTCAGTGGTTAGCATGCCAGCCCCACACACCAGGGGCAATGAGTTCAAACCTCACTTGGGCCTGATTAACAACAAAAATGCTCTCACTGTGTCTGATGCCATAGGCCATTGTTTTTCAACTTTTTTTTTATCTCATGGCACAGTTAAATCATGTTGATAAAAAAAAATAATAAGAAGGGTGGCACCAGTGGCTCAGTAGGTAGGGCACCGGCCCCATATACCGAGGGTGGCAGGTTCAAACCCAGCCCTGGCCAAACTGCAACAAAAAAATAGCCAGGCATTTGTGGCAAGTGCCTGTAGTCCCAGCTACTAGGGAGGCTGAGGCAAGAGAATCGCCTAAGCCCAGGAGTTGGAGGTTGCTGTGAGCTGTGTGATGCCACGGCACTCTACCAAGGGCATTAAAGTGAGACTCTGTCTCTACAAAAAAGAAAAGAAAAGAATAGACTTGCTATGCTTTGACCTTCTTTTGAAAATAATTTAATTAATAATCTTGAAAAATTTTGGTGGCATACATTAAGCTCCTCTCACAGTGCACCGGTATGCCATGGCACATGGGTTGAAAATCACTGGTCTAGGTTGAATCAACCTCTGGGGCCCAAAAACATCACCCCCAGTGTGGGGAGCTTCTCTGGTATCAGAAGGGCAGCTTCAGAGGCCTGGAGCCTTTCATAAAGCAGGTGACAGCAATCAGGACTCACACAGATGCATGCCGCAGGTACAGAGATGTCCACTCACACCAGCACACGTTCTCAGAAATGGATACATGTGGGTCCACACTCCTGTGGCCACAAAACTCCTGGCACAGGGTGGCTTGTGCCAGATCCCTTGTGCAAGCACAAACTCATGCTGTCTTCTTCAAACTGCATTGTGAAAATTAAACACTTGACAACGCCACTCAAGAGCCTGTCGCTTTTCCAGAGAACAAGTTTTACTTCTTCAGAAAGGCCTCTGAAGCTAGCAGGTGGTAGGAGCTGGGGCTGTGTGGCAAATGAAGCCTGGAAGACCCTGCTTAAGAAACCATTGTCCTCTGTCTCTGGAGCTCCTGGCGCCTGCTAGGGGCTACACATAGTGGTGTGGTGCCCACCTCAGAGGGACAGCTTACACTGCAGAGAGGGAGGCAAGGATCACATAACCACAGAGAAGAGTCACTTAGCCAGATGGCACCAGAGCCAGGAGTCTCAGGGTCCTGGCTTTGCCCAGCTGAGAGCCCCGACTTGCCTCTGCAACTTATCAAATATGGCTGTAATCTTGCTGGCTGGATGTGCACACGCCTGTCATTCTCTCTGCTCACAGGGCAGGGGTCCCTGGTTGGGCAGAGCATGCCAGCTGCTCTGGCTGGGAGCTCACGTGAACCATCACAGGACTGTGCCATTTGGCTGGACTCAGCCTTAAATGGACAGTGGGGTGGGTCTGTGAGAGCGCCTTTCACATGCAAGCCTCTCATGATGGCCAGAGAGGTCTGGGAGAAGAGGAAGGCTGGAGTTGGAGTGCGGCACAGGTCCCAAAGGCCTCCTGGGACCTCAGGCCAGCTGGGGAGCCCAATCCAGTGTCTCCCAAGTCCGTCCCCAGCCATTTCAGGCCAGGAAGTCCAAGCTGTGCCCCGAGGCCCCACAGAGGGAGGGCGTAGCTTAAGGCCACTTGGACTGCCCAGGGAAGGCTGGAGAGCACTCCAGGAGGCGGGGAACTGAGCTGTTTGTTCATGGAAAGGCTCATTAATGAAAACCCCCGAGCCTGACCACCTGGGGGAAAGGCTCACCGTTACCATGTGTAGCTGATAAGAGCCAGGAGATTCCACAGTTCAGGTAGTTCCCCCGCCTCCCTGGCGTTTTGTGGTCACCATTAATCATTTCCTCTGTGTATATAAGAGCTCTTTTGCCAGTGAGCCCAGTACACAGAGAGAAAGGCTAAAGTTCTCAGGAGGATGTGGCTGCAGAACTTGCTTCTCCTGGGCACTGTGGCCTGTAGCATCTCTGCACCCACTGGCCCACCCAGATCTGTCACCCGGCCCTGGAAGCATGTGAATGCCATTGAGGAGGCCCTGAGACTTCTGGACGAAAGCAATGACACTGTTGCTGAGATGGTGAGTGAGGGAGTGCTGGCCCCACTCATCCAGACTGGCCCTGCCTGTCGACTTTATAACGTGACATTTTCCTTTCTTACAGGATGAAATAGAAGTTGTCTCTGAAAGGTTTGACCCTCAGGTAAGATGATTCCCTCTGACTTGGCTTTCTAGGAATCTCTGACTTAGGGTGGGTATTGGCCCCTGGCAGGCTTGTCCACTTTCTCTCTAGTTAGCTGGCTGCCAGGCGAAAAGGGCTGTGACTAGGAGCTCAACAGGCTACTGGCCTTGCCTCTGTGCAGCCCAAGAGCTCCTTTATCAGCTGAGCAGCCGGGCAGATCTAGCATTTTAGGATCAGGGGCCACCAGAGTGGTAAAGCAAGGGCGACTTTATGGGCTAGGGGTTTGGGGCACTCACTATGCCCTAGATTAGTGCCAACTACAGAGGATCATAGAGGGGTCTCAGAATAACCCTTGCTCTTAAGGCAGGTCTGGGAAAGCCCTACCCTGCCTTTTCTCCCTGAATGGAGTGAGAGCGACATTTTCCCTTGGGGCTGGGACCCTCTGGAAGTGTCGGCTGAGGAGGGGCAGATTCATGTCTGCTGTGGATGACTGGACTCAGCCTCAGATTAATTGAGAATCAGCCTGTGCCCTTCCAAGCCCTACTCTTGAGGGTTGAGGAAGTGAATAGCAAATAATGATGAGGAGGGTGTCCTGTGCCCACTGTGTTCCCCTGCTCACCAAGGGATGGGCATATTCCACAGGAGCCGATGTGCGTGCAGACCCGCCTGAAGCTGTACAAGCAGGGCCTTCAGGGCAGCCTCACCAGGCTCAAGGGCTCCTTGACCTTGATGGCTGACCACTACCAGAAGAACTGCCCCCCTACCCCGGTAAGCACCTCCATCAGGGCCCCAAGTAGGAAGGTCTTAGTCTAGGAGGGTGGGGACTGTGTGGGGACGGACCACTGGCTGGGGCTGTTTAGGATCCCAAAGGACTCCTCTGTCAACAGACTGTTATGATCAGCCCACACGGAGAGGGAGCAGTTAGCTCATTTTCATCCCTGGAAGTTAAAGCCATGGAGCTGTGAAGCCCACAGCACTCCCTAGTGGGAGCTGCTACCATGCTTGTTATTGTTGTGTTTCTCTCTAATGAGGTCAGTGGTGAGGCAAACCCAAGGAAACTCAGGGCCTGGGCAAGGTCCAGAGGAAGTGCTGGGGCCCGAGTGCCACCTCCCAACAGGACTTTCCTTGGCCCACGTGGGGTGACTGGATTGCTTGAAAGAAGGGTGGAGACCTACCTGAAATGAACGAGGGCCCTGGGCACTCCTTTCTACAGGAAGGGAGTAAGGTCTGTGGCCTTGCCTCTTGCTCCTTCTGGGTACCTGGAGATGGCCTCAGCCGAGCTCTTCTGTCCTGACCTGGGACCCAAAAGGCCAGAGTCTGACCACCCATCTTAGGCTGGCACATTGTCAGGCCTCTGGCCCCAGCTGTCACTGGCAGAGTTGTGCACCCCTTGGGTAACAAATGGGCGGCAACAGTGTCACCTGACCCAAGTCAGTGGGCAGGCCGTGGAATGGCCTTCCGGCCCCTGAGTTCTAAGAGCCAGTGCAGAAAGACTGGTGGTTGCCCCATGTGAACTGCTTGCCTCAAGTGTTTTTTTATTTTTCTTTTTTCTTGAAGGAAACTTCCTGTGAAACCCAGATTATCACCTTCAAAAGTTTCAAAAAGAACCTGAAGGACTTTTTGTTTGATATCCCCTATGACTGCTGGAAGCCACTCCAAAAGTGAGGAGGGCGAGCCCCAGGGCGTTCCGCACAGACTGCTGCTCTCTCCTGGAACCAGAGCCAGAAACTGGGATCTTCATCCTGGAGGGACCAAGGGGTGGGCTACGGCTACGATGAGAGTGGCCTGGATCTGCCCTGGGCCACACTGATCCTGATGCCGGCACAGAAGAGAGATGGGGATGTTTTACACTGGCAGAGATCAGTAATATTTATTTATATATTTATATTTTTTAAATATTTATTTATTTATTTATTTAAGCTGGTGCTCTTGATATTTATTCAAGATGTTTTTACCATAATAATAAATTATGAAAACTCTGCTTTTATTTGTGTAGTTTTCTGGTTTATTTTCAACCATGAGCAACTGCTGGTGGTGTCCTACTTCCCCACGGGGCAGGCAAGGGAGGAAAGTGGGAGGTAGAGGAGGAGTGGGGGTTGGGTGCTGCCTCAGGGGCAAGGCTGTGGCAGCAGAGGGGAGGGACAGCCAGGCCTGAGTGCAGCCTTCTGCACACCTAGATATGCTTTCCCGGATGTGCAAGGGCTCTGACCCCAGAGAAGTACTTGGAAATTCAAGTCAACAGCCTAGTCAAAGCTCGACCCAGAGCAGGGGCATCACCCTTCCCCAGAGCCCTAGAGGCTGGCCCATCTTGGGCCAATCAGGCCCACCCTGGCATCAGGCAAAAGACCTGTGCTCCTTAGCGGCCTGCCCCTCCCACTGAGGGCTTTAGCCACACCTAAGGTAAATCAGCAAACTAACTGTTCAGGGTAAAAAAAAAAAAAAAAAACCACAGGGGTCAGAGCTCAGCATATTTACCAAACTTTCCCCCAAACAGGTGATCTTAATCTTTGAGAGAGAATGTGAGTTCACAATTTGTTAATATATGGCTCCAGTGCAGCATTTTTCTGAACTGGTTTTTATTTTTTACATAAAGTTTTGACTCTAATCGGCACTTTCCCCTAAAGTCCAGGGCCTTCAGGTCAAGGAAAGAGCATCTGTCCTCTTTCTCCTGGCTTTGACAGCCAAGATAAAGGCCTGGTTCCTGAACCTGTTCTTCTGTGTCCCTTTTGGGGACTGTGAGCAACTGGGTGTGCCCCTTAAATCTTAGGTGGGCAGTGGGATCAGCCCTCTCCTTGACAGGTGGGCCTGGAGAACTGGTCTGTGAAGGCTTAGCCCCTACCTGGTATTCTCTGCAGCCATGTGCTCCCCACCCTACTTGCTCTCTGCTTGTATCAGCACCCATGGACAGCACGAGTCCTGGCCGGAGATCTGCCCCTGACACAAGCAGAAAGGTCATGATCAGATGTGATTACAAATAAGAAGTCTTACACTAAGCCTGAATTTCAGCAAAGACAAGACTCCATGAAAGGTGTTGTCGTCATTGAAAATGCATGAAAAGCACATCTTGCCAGTGATAAGGTCTTCCTCATAAGCCAGTGATGACTGATAAGAGGTTTAGCATTTCCTTAGACTCATATATATAGGTGCCCCCTCCACTGAAATGCTTCTAAGCCCACAGCTCAGAACGACTTGAATCACCTTCAAGTAAGACCATGCACCTATATGTGCTCCTGGCTTGTGTGCTCTGGGGGTCAGGAAGCCATTCTCCCCTAGTGAAGGCAGACATGTTGTCTCCCCACGAAAATTACACGACCCTCTGTGCCGAGATTCAGGAAGAACTTTCAGCTGACAACAATACATACAACGTAAGTCTGGGTCTTTACCAACTATTATTTTTCTCTCAGTGGCCCTTTGTGTTTCTAACCAACTTCTCTTGCTTCCAGGGTTCCTTCAATAGTCCCCAGAATACCAGTGAGGTAAGTTGGACCTTTCAGATTACATATGCAGATGGAGAGAGGGATCGCCCCAGCCTGGGCCTAGAGAAGAGATAAGAGGAAGGGACAGTAGAGTTAAAAACCTGGGAGAAAGCTGCATTTTTGAGGATGGAGCCTCTGCTTCAGCCAATAGTTCAGGTCCTGGGCTGTGCCAGGCTCTCTGACCACCAACCAAGCACACCCCTGGGCTCAGGGAGAGACCAGACATCCATGGCCTCCACTAATGGCTTGCAAGGCCCACAGGTCTCCAGTGGAAGAACCAGGAGAGGGCCTGAGTTTTGGTCCAGGGATCTATCCAGCCAGGATGACCAGGGATGGATGAGGATGAGGTTGGACTCAACTGGTGCCTGGCTGTGCACAGTGCCCCCATCCTTTTTTCAGGAGCTCTGCTATGGAGAGTTTACAAAGAATTTCACCTCCACCCTGAAGGATCTTGTTACCAAATACAATAAAAAAGACCATCACATTGAAAAGATTTATAAGGACATGAAAGAACTCACCAGGATCTGCCCAAAGCTGAAAGTAAGTTGCAATTTGTTCTTAGGGGAACCTGAGACATAATTTCTCTGCACCACAGCCAAGGAAGGGCACAGCGGGGGAAAAGGGCTTCTTATGGACCCTACTTGGCACATGCAAGGCCTCAGGTGTTACTCTGGGGCCACACAGGTAGCTTTCCTCTGGAATGGTCTCTAATCCAAAAGAAGTCCACTCACTGACATGGGGTGGAAGGTGGGGAGTGGAGGGCTGGGTGTGAGGGAGTAGAGATTCAGGGATCCTGGGAGTATAGCCCGTGCTCTCCACCAAGCCCCCCCTGCCCAGGTGTCAGTTGGGGCAAGTGTGAGACAGGTGGATGCAAGGCTGGTCATGGACTCAGCCTGGGAAGAGGGACAGGCAGCCAGTGTCAACCCCAGTCAGGCAGCCAGCCCTAGATTGCTTCATCCCTGGGGACTCCTCTGGACACTGGACCCCCCTGGGAACCCATGGTGGGGCACATCTGGGGAGACAACTGAGCTGCTCCTCTCTCTTTGCCCGTTGCTTGCAGTCTCCTCTGTGCTCTTACCCAGCTTGTTCTCATGTCCCTATCCTGGAAAGCAGGGGACTTGCCCATGCCCTGCAGCCTGCCCCCTGTGCAAGGGTCTGGATGGTCCTCAGACTCTGGGCTCATCATCACCAGAAAGCCCCCAGCAGCCTCCTTCAGACAGAGGGGAGGGCCTGCTGGAGTTGCCTCCTAGGGGTAGGGGCTTAAAAGACCCGTGAAACTGGAAGTACAAGAGTTTGCTTTTATTTATTCATTTAATTCTCCCAAGAAGATGACTTAAACATGTATTTCTTATTTAGCCAACAGACTCACCCCAGAACTGTACTATTGAGCAAAGTAATTTCTCCAAGTTCAAGGAAGCCTTGAAGAGTGTAATCACATCCATAGAAGGATGGAAATCATGTAAGAGGATCAAGCATGGCCTCTGGGACCCCATCCTCTCACAGGGTTAGAGGTGCAAGAAATGGGATTGGAAAAGCCTCAGAAATAATTTACTTCTGGGGTGGGGTGGGGTGGGTGTTTGCTGGCCCTGGGCCCAGCAGACAAGACTGTGGGTGGGTAACTGGGGTGGTGGTGCCTGAGGTCACAGTTCTGTAACTGATGCAGCTGTATCTACTGCTTCAATAAAACCCAGGGTGTGGAATGCTAGTGAGAGTCATGATGGAGTCCACCCTTGTTGGGGCCCCAATAGGCTGGAAGGGGTGGAAGTGATGGCTCCATCACTGAACTCCTGACCTGGAGGCCCAGTGGTCTCTCAGAAGTGTGAGCCCACTTCATCTGACTCTGTTGTATCTCAGTGCCAGGGGGCAATAGTAGGGGCTCCATCCCCTTGCTATGCCATCCTCCTCTCTGTTCCTTCAGAACTCAGATCTCAGATCCTTTCCCCAAATCCCTTCCCCAGCTGCAGTCAGCACCTACCCACCTCCACCTCCAAGACTCAGGACCAAAGGCCTCCCTGCTTTGTTCTCTGCTTTGGATCCTGGGGAGCTCTAAATTTGATCCATCCCCACCCCAGTCCTTCAGGCCCAGTGTGGTGCCACAGAGATTGTCAACGCTGGTAAATGGTTCTGGGAGACAGAGGCTTTCAGGCTGCTCACAGAAGACTGGACACAGTGTGGGACCCGGGGAAGGAGGGGGACCCAGAGAGGACAGAAATATCTCCAACCCCCTGGGCTTCACTTGCACCATTAAAAAGTTGTTTGACCTCAAATTAAAGCCTCTCACTTGACCTGCAAAGAGCCTTCAGAGACCCTCTCACGTCTTCATGGCATGACAGCACCCTTCCCTTACCTGGCATTAGTAACACTCTCCTACCCACAGAGCACTGAGCTCAGGGGTGAATCTGCTAGTTGCTTGTGTACTAAAGTGCTGCCAGACTGGGCCACCAAGCTCTGACCCCTACCTCTATTCAAACTCTAATCCTTATCATTTGAAGAATTTATTGGAGGTGACTTGGATTACCCCACAATCTAAGTAGCTTCTTTATAATCCAAACCTCTCAGATCTGGAGCTTCTTCATAAAACCAGGACAGATAAAGATCTATTTGTTCTGGATTAGGTATCAAGCTGCAACCACAACTTGGCCCCAGCCAGATCTTTAGGCAGTATGCATCGTCTGCCCATTGGCTGATCTTGCTCAGCTATAAAGCTCTGGGCGTGCCGGCAGCCACACAGGCCAACCACAGATTGCCCACCCTATACTTCGCCCTCGGATCCCCAGGCCACTCCAAAGGGATGTATCAGGCTGGAGGTCAGCAAATGTACCCAAGCAAGGTGGCCAAAGAATGTGGAGAGTAGCCCTGTGGTTCAGGATCAAGTGTTGGGGACTGGCACAGGACCAAGAGCCAGTGGTGGTTTCAGCCCAGAGAAAACCTATGGTTTAGTCACTGAGGCTGTGAGCTCTTGTCCCGTAGGTGGACCACATGGGTGCTCAGGGCTCCCAAGGCCACTCCTCTGCAATGGCAGTAGTCAGTGGGATGCATAACTGGATGGGGTAGCTGTCTTCTCAGTCTGCATGAGGTTCCCTAACTTTGAGAGCTTCTGAAAAAGCCAAAGGCACCTGACAATAGGGAGTTGGGAGCTTGCATGTACAGCCTTGTCACCTCTTGTTATATTCAGAACAGCAGAGTGTG